CCTCATTGGTTCTTGAGGAAGCTCAAACGTGATGCGTAACACGAGAATGAACCTCATTGTTTCTTAAGGAAGCTCAAACGTGCTGCGTAACACAAGAATGAACCTCATTGGTTCTTGAGGAAGCTCAAACGTGCTGCGTAACACGAGAATGAACCTCATTGGTTCTTGAGGAAGCTCAAACGTGATGCGTAACACGAGAATGAACCTCATTGGTTCTTGAGGAAGCTCAAACGTGCTGCGTAACACGAGAATGAACCTCATTGGTTCTTGAGGAAGCTCAAACGTGCTGCGTAACACGAGAATGAACCTCATTGGTTCTTGAGGAAGCTCAAACGTGATGCGTAACACGAGAATGAACCTCATTGTTTCTTGAGGAAGCTCAAACGTGCTGTGTAACACAAGAATGAACCTCATTGGTTCTTGAGGAAGCTCAAACGTGATGCGTAACACGAGAATGAACCTCATTGGTTCTTAAGGAAGCTCAAACGTGATGCGTAACACAAGAATGAACCTCATTGGTTCTTGAGGAAGCTCAAACGTGATCCGTAACACAAGAATGAACCTCATTGGTTCTTGTTGAAGCTCAAAAGTGATGCGTAACACAAGAATGAACCTCATTGGTTCTTGAGGAAGCTCAAACGTGCTGCGTAACACAAGAATGAACCTCATTGGTTCTTGTTTAAGCTCAAACGTGATGCGTAACACGAGAATGAACCTCATTGGTTCTTAAGGAAGCTCAAACGTGATGCGTAACACAAGAATGAACCTCATTGGTTCTTGAGGAAGCTCAAACGTGATCCGTAACACAAGAATGAACCTCATTGGTTCTTGTTGAAGCTCAAAAGTGATGCGTAACACAAGAATGAACCTCATTGGTTCTTGAGGAAGCTCAAACGTGATGCGTAACACAAGAATGAACCTCATTGGTTCTTGAGGAAGCTCAAACGTGATGCGTAACATGAGAATGTACCTCATTGGTTCTCGCATCTCAAGTTTCCGTTTTTCCGTTTACCATAACTGATGTGCAAATTGATGAATGTTTATATGCGAATAAACTACCCTATCTCACGACCACGTACAAATTCGTACGAGTGATTAAAAAGTGACTAATTCGTACTAATTCATCACTCGTACGCATTCGTATACGATTTGTCTAAACCCACGTGATGGTTGGGTTTAGGGGCGGGGTCAGGGGTAGGCCATTCGTACGAATTGGCCAAATCATAAAATTTGTACGGTTTAGCAAAAAACGTAATTCGTTTGAGTGAGGTCATATGAATTGTTACGAATTAGCCACCTCGTTGAATTCGTACAAATTCCCGTGAGATCGGGTTGGAATAAAAGCCTAAGTTAAATCTGTTCAACATATAGAGCAATCATGTCTCTTTCAGAAAATGTAGACTGAACCGCTCAATTATGAATTAGTTTTACGATATCTTTATGCATCAAAGAAGTAGTTGTGTAAAGTGTCAATGGAGGGACAGAAAGCTGTAAGATTTCATTAAAACATCTTCAATTGTGTATCAGGTTTGGAACGACTTGAGGGTGAATAAATGATGACAACATTTTTGGGTGAATTAACCCTTTAATATTAACAAGAGCAACTGAACAGCTGTTTGTGATCTCAATCCTATAGTTTAACTTCTGCAGTTTACAATCCCATCTCTTCCTGATTGTTCAGTACTGCCTTCTCTTCCAGGGCAGACAATAATATAGAGCCGTTACAGCAGTGACCTTAAAAAAGTGCTGATCCTGAGAGCTCTGTCTTTGTGAGCCTGCAACTCATGTGTTTACACCCTGCCACAAAACGCTTCAGTCCAATAAAGAGAATAAATCCTTCTAAACATGTTCAGAGTGAAACGGAAAGATTCAGTGGTCAATCAAAACAGACTATATTATTCTTTGAGATCAATGTCTGACTCACTATAACTGAACACAACTGTGTTCAATCAAAGCTCGTAAGGAGTGATGTACAGTATGTCAGGGGAAACAGCAACTACATAACCTAAGTACTTTGTTTGAAGTATGAATTATCATCTAACTCCTCAAACTGTGATGAACGTTTGACTCACAGTGCCTCCTGCTGGGAAGTAAAGGAGATAGCTGACACGTTTGAGGCCTTGTTTTGAGTCCAAGGCCTAGTTTACACCAGGCATTAAAATGTGTTTTGATTGATCAAATCACAAGTAGACGAGGGAGATACATTCCCGTTTACACCTGGTGTTTTAATCCTTCTTTTTTGTCTACTTTTAACCACTTCTGTCCTGACTTCTTCGAGGGGAGGGTCTATGGGCAGGAAAATGTGTGATCTAATGGACATTATTTACAATTGACATTTTAACACGACTGGAAACGCCAGAAAATCATACGGAGAGCAGCAGCTTCAGTTTCTGCTCAGACAGCCGCAAGACCAAACTCTGTGAGTGTTAGAAATCAGGAATGGTAAGAAGACATTGTGCTTGGTCAGTTTTTCCTCTTCAAACCAAACTTAGTTCTTCAGCCAGCAGAGTTTAAAACCGTCTGGGTTGCGCGCTTCCCATTATGTTTACGCATCAGGTGAGTATGGAGAGTAGATGGTCTTTTGTGGCTCTTCAAACATTGACCACATGAGCGTTTACACTACCAAAGCAATCTGGTTGAATGCATTTTCGATTACCTCTGGAAGTGGTGGAAAGTGGACAAGCTCAAAGCTCGTTTTAGAAGCCGTTTACATCTGTATTATTTAGCATTGTCCACTTGTGATCAGACTGATGATAACGCCGTTTAATACCGGGCGAGTGCAGGTCAGAATCAATTTATTTACCATATCATATTGTAGGGTTGAAAATAATCAAAGAAATTTGGAAATGAACCCTTTCAACTACAAATAATGTGCTAGTGCAAACTAGTTTTGATTTGGTATTCACTTTGAAGTGCTACCTATTGCAGTACAATATCGTCAAATAGCAAAGCTCTCCCACATACTGTATTTAGCTATAGTAACTGCGCTTATTTACATTGTTGGTCTAAGTAGCAGTGGGTGGCAATGTACAGTTTTCTACAATCTTGCTGATAACGTTTCTTTAGTCATTTGGCAGTCCTGCAGCGTGAACCACTGTAGGCAAACCACTCTTGCAATATATAAGTGCAGTATGTACTTTTGATTTAACAAACAGATGAATCGGGATCTCAGTGCATGTAAATGCTCAGGTTTCATATTATTCAAATAAAGTGTACTCAAAATGTGCCACCACAATCATCAGCATGAGCCCATAAAAAAGAGCTCTTAAAACTGAACTTGCAATCTGAAAATTGCTCTAAAAGCTTTTCGTCAATGGAGACGTTCCCGTGACCCGCCTGAGGCAAACGGGCTTCAGAAGAGTCCTCTTATTGAAGAACAATTTAGAAACATGGCCAGCACCCAGAACTGTTTAGGTGTATTCATTTAGATTCAGTGAGGAACATAGTCTTCCCACTCCCATCTCTAACGCTGGACACATTTATGGAATATTCTTCTCACTGAGATGAAACAAACCTCTTCATACAGGGTAGAATGACTCACTGCTCGTAATGTGACTTGTTATGTCTTGAACACATTTTAACTATAAATTATAGCTGCAGTTTACAGATAATGGAGTATATCTGAAGTTCAGCTATGTCTGTTTTTTCTTTCAGCTGTGAATAACAGCTTATGAGTTCACATTCTCAAAAATACTGTTTAAAGTATTTATACAATAGCATATATATATATATGAAGAGTTCAGATGCAAAAGCCTCTAAGTGCCATTTGAAATTTTCTTCTAGAATGATCATTTTTATCAAGCTTGTATATTTAAGTTCAGTGATTTCACTTAAATGGCAATGATAATTACCTATTAATTGTTATTTAAGTGAAATTACTGAACTTAAATATACAAGTTTGACAAAAATCATCATTAAAGAAGAAAATTTCAAATGGCATTCCATTTAGAGGCTTTTGCATCTGAACTCTTCATATATATATATATATATATATATATATATATATATATATATATTGTATTTACCATAACATTTTGGTTGCATACTTCTTCAGTGTTATCATTATCAATATACTTAAAATGAGAGGAGCTTTTAAATGCAGAAAGCAGAGCTATCATTAATTAAAAAAAAACAATCCAGTCATTCTTCTTCATTATTAGAGCTGTGGGGGGATTCTCAAACTAAAACCTTCAAAAAACAGAGAGGGAGATTTGTCAGTCCTTGGCTCACGAATATATGGCTATCTAATTTAATACCAGTATAACTAGCTCATGTTTCAAATTTAGAGAAGATCAATGGCATAAACCACATCACATAATACATCCCCTATTACAGACCTATTATCAGTGATTTAGTAGGGTATTTTTATTTTTTTTAACACCCAGATTCATGGTTAAGAAAATAATTGTGCACAGCACATACAGTATTCACTGTCAGCATGCAGGTTTTTGGAACTAACACTTGAAACAAGACTGAGAAGGTGCTGTGTTTTTTTTTTCTGCCACACTATTATATAATTATATTTACTATTATATAATTTACTATTATATAATTTATTATACTATTATATTAATTATAATTAAGTTGAGTTGAGTTTTACCATTTTCGAATCCATTCAGACGATTTTCTGATACTTAGAAGAATATCAGTAACCAGACAGTTTCTGGTCCCATTGACTTCCATTGTAGGAAAAAAAATATATACTGTACAATGAAAGTCAATGGGACCAGAAACTGTCTGGTTACTGAAGTCGGCGAATGGACTGTGGGCCTGATTCTGGCCTTTTAATACTGTAACAACCCCTCACTCAATTCATTTCCAGACCACAAAATAACTCTGACTTGAGAAACAGTAATGTGTGCCCATGTCTGTTATCTATTATCTAAGAAACTGCTTAATGGGCATATTCATTCTGCACAATTTGGTCTAATAGCATGTGCTCAAAAATCAAAGGCTAGAAAACCCAAATCATGATCTAACCACTTCCTGTTCGGGTGTTTTTGAAAGCAGGTTAACAGGAAGTCAAACTCTTGTTAAAATTCCCCATTGACACTGATGCACGATCAGCTTCCCCAAAACCATTATAATAAAAGAAGACAGGTCTATGATCAGTATACAGATAAAATCGACTACTGAGGAATTTGCTGTTTGAATTCTTACCATGCTGATTTAGTTTTTGGGTTACACTTTATTTCGATTGTCCACTTGATATCAAAATTGAAAATACTGTGAAAACAAAGACGCCTACATCTTGGATGCCCTTGAGGTAAGCTAAAACATATCAAAAATGTATTTCAAAAGGAACTGTCCCTTTAAGCCTGTTGATTTTTGTTCATGGTACAGTATTTAGCCACAAGTAAATGTTTTGCAATAAGACTTAGAATATATGTGAATAATATAATTGGCTCAAGTACAGCTAAGCTAAAGCCTGGAATATGCAGTTTTTTTATTAATGGAAAATAATATGGGTTCAAATCAATTGAAAATATTAAATGAGTAGACTTGGGTCTCACTTTTTCTAGATCTGGAGAAGAGCTTGATGCTGGCAGGGGCTGAGCTGGACGAGGAGCGGAAGATACCACTTAAACTGAGACGGCGAGGAGATTTGGGAGGTGAGTCCAGGTGAGAAGATAGTGGACGTGTGAAGATGGTTTTAGGAGATCCTGGACTGGTCTTGGGAAAAATGGGGGCTGAAACTGGGGTACAGGGCTGACTGGCAGGAGACCTCAAACATGGGGTAGCTGAGTCACTTCTGTCACCCTGTGGGCAAAATATGTGTTATTGAACTTTTAAGAGAAAATAGATTGTAGTTATGTCCCAAATGACGCATTATACACCATACACTTATACTTATATTACACTTCCCCCTCCCTCCGCTTCTGCTATGTAAGGAAAGCTGTGACAATTGAGTGCATGAAGTGTCCGACATTCCACTCTTCATTTTGTTTATAACCTGGAATGTAATCTCCTGAAACATCAGCTGTATCTACCCAATAGTTTGAGACTTTTGAACAGAGAGCTTTGCCATGAAGTTGAAGCGAGAATGAAGTGCTTCAATGCATTGATGTGATACCAGGCCAAACAGGATGAGAATATCACTACATCAGCATACTACTTGAAAAGAGCAAGACGAAGCCAAAACATTGCACAACACACGTTGAAGGAGAAATATTTTCAACAAGAATTGGAGAAGAGATAGTGTAGTGACCTCAAGGCTTCAAAACAATCTTGCAATATTAAATGTACTGACTTAATATGAAGAGTTCAGATGCAAAAGCCTCTAAGTGCCATTTGAAATTTTCTTCTAGAATGATCATTTTTATCAAGCTTGTATAATTAAGTTCAGTGATTTCACTTAAATGGCAATGATAATTACCTATTAATTGTTATTTAAGTGAAATTACTGAACTTAAATATACAAGTTTGATAAAAATCATCATTAAAGAAGAAAATTTCAAATGGCATTTAGAGGCTTTTGCATCTGAACTCTTCATATATTCATTTATTAACTATCCTTTGGCAAATTTGGCAATATTTCTCAAGTTGCCAAAGTATAGCTAATAAATGAACTTTAGATCAGCCTCACAGAACAGCTAAACTTTGAAATAGTTAACATACACTGATATTTGCATAGTTTTGTTTGGTTTGTTTTTACTTTCCTAATTCTCACAAAATTATATACAGTATTTGCATTTCAGCATTTATACACATTTGCAATTTTGTGAGAATTAAGAAAGTAAAAATAAAACAATGTACTATTTCAAAGTTTAGCTGTTCTGCGTGGCTGATCTTAGTACAACCTGAAAGCAAGCATGTTTTCTCAAACCTCATTGCACAATGAACAATCAGTTTCAAGTTAAGCCGGCAGTGCGTCTAGCGCCCTAAATGGTTAGTATTTCAAAGTACTACTGACCTTCAACTCTTTGGCAAACACGTTTTTGTTTATTTGCTAATGTGCCCATTCACTAGGCTGCGGTTGCTTCACAGGCTGTTTTCATTGGCCCAGCTTTGCTTGGCCTTTGATTATAAGGGGAAGGGTAGGCGTCACCTTCAAGCTTAGCTCTGAGTGGGTGAGATATAAATATTAGATGTTGTAATTAAAATAATAAAACGTGAAAATGTCCAAGGCGGGCTGAATCATTTTTATAGACACTGTATATTTGGCACAGTTAGTTTACAATTAGACATGTATTATATCAACAAGGTAAATAAATATAAAAATATATAAAGAGTTAGCTGTAAGTAACTTGTGCATGACCAGTTCACTCTGACCTATTACAAATACCGCCATTTATATACTTCACTTAGTAATTCTGGCACATTTAAAGGAGTGGTTCACTTAAAAAAAAAAAAAAACTTTTGCTGATAATTTACTCAACCCCATGTCATCCAAGATGTCCATGTCTTTCTTTCATCAGTCGAAAAGAAATTAAGGTTTTTGATGAAAACATTCCAGCATTTTTCTCCATATAATGGACTTAACTGGGAACCAAACGGTTCAAGGTTACATGACATGGACATCTTGGATGACAAAAAGTGCTGGAATAATTTTTCCCCTTACTGTGCAAAATCATCATTTATAGCCATAGACGGAGACAGCATTTCAATTGTTGAGTATGAAATAGGCAAAACAGCATGTGAAAAGAAAGTTTGCCTAGCCTCTTATTCATGAGCAGGTTTCCCTAACGTTTCAGGTCAACCGGTCTATGCCAGTCTAACAACAAAACTAGTGTGGGCAACACCGGCACAAATTTTTTTTTTTTTTTTTTTACCACCAAAGTACACGTTTGGACAAGTCAGTCCTATTTATGTGTAATATAACCAGTGTTGGGAGTAACACATTACAAAAGTAATACATTACTGTAACATATTACTTTTTGCTGTAACGCAGTAGTGTAAGGCATTACTAATCAATTTTCAGTAATATTTTACTCGTTACATGTTCAGTGAGGCTTGTATTACAGTTGTATTACAGTGTATTGTCTGCTTTTACTTCTTAAAGGCAACAGACTGTGTGAAAGTTTTAAAGCAGTCTTTTAGTGCCAGTTCAGAGCGGTCGCGTCTGTAACATTGTTTTTTTCCTCATAAATGCGAACACGAAAACTAAAATAAAATGAATATTTTAAGCTCTATGGAGACTGGAGAGCCAACCCTTCCTCATCCGATTTGCGCAGTGTAATTAACAGAATTACAAAAAATATATTTTGCCTCCTATTTTTTTGTCACGCATGAATGTGTGTCTTTTCCCTAATATTAAAAATAAAACATAGACTGATATTTGTCTAATGTCTGGAGTCCTTTAAGGAAGTAGCCTATATACGTTTCAATACATGTATTTTCTGAGAATTTTTTTTTCAAGTTTTGACTGCAAATGTCATGTCCATAATGCTGGACTTCCCCAATTTTTAATAATTTATCCTCAACTAGTTTTGTGGTTAACTTCAAATGTTCTGTAGGTTCGTTGATCTGAGTCGTGTGGCGAATCGCGATTTTGGTTTCATTTCGTTACAGCCCAAAAGTTAAGTTCTACTTAGTTATTTTGGTGAAAGTAACTCAAAAGTAATACATGAGTAATGTAACGCATTACAATTCTGAGACAGTAATATTGTAAGGTAATGAATTACTTTTAAATAAAAGTAACAAGTAATACCTAATGTATTACAGTTTGGAAGTAACTTGCACAACACTGAATATAACTCATCAATCATCATGTAACAATCCATATATAATTCCTTCAAATCGCACATGCAAAGGCTCTGTTCCAAAACCTAGTAACCTAGTTTTGCTCTCTACTCTCCACATACAGTACAGCAGCTTTATACAGTTAGGTAGCATACTGAAATTAATGATTTGGAACGCTCTACGTGGACAAAAACTGGTGAAAGATTGCCATTTTGTGTATTTTACCTTTTGTATTTTATCTTTGTCTGATCTGTCAGTCTCACCGTCCATAAGAGAGGATGCAAATGTGCTCAAATCCTGTTAAAAGAAAAAAACATCAGAGTTAACGATAAAAGCCAAACCATATGACTCAAAACATGGCCTTTTAAAGATAATTTTTTTTCAGAAAATAGTGAATGAATGAAGAAACAATCATTGAAGCTTAACAGAATAAATATTTATGAATCATTATTAAGCAGATGATGTTAGATAATGAAGAAAATTAGGATTAATCAGCCATTTAAGATATGATTTAATCACTAAGTAAGTGAGATGCAAGCATACATTGCTCTGCCAGGCATTTCTAATACTCATAAAGACCAAATGAAATCTTTTATTCAATGAAGGCAGACTGGGAACAGGATCAAACATTGGTTGGTTTTGTGGCACCATGCCTTTTTGTTGGGCTTGGGGGAAAAAAACTCACTGTGGGGGGTCATGTCAAAGCTTAGACATGTTTTAGGCAACTGTTCAACACTTACTCAAAGAGTAGACTCTGAACAAAGCGTAGCTCAAACACAATTGGTTTTTAGATGTTTCAATTCCACAAAAGAATGACCTAATGCATTTCAAACAATGTACACAAAAGGTGTTTTATGGCACTAACATATGTGCTGCATTCATACCAAGAATTATTTAGTGCAAGTAAGGTAATTTGGAAAGCTGAGAAAACCTAAATGCAAATAGTTTTGCAGACAAAAAGCAACAATCATTCAAATTCACAATAGTATAAAAAAGTACTAACTAAGCTACGTATTTGGCTGAAATAATCAGTGTTGGGGGTAGAGCCAGACCGATATATCGGCAGGCCGATATTATCGGCCGATATTAGGCATTTTCTAAAATATCGGTATCGGCAGTTATAATGACCGATAAATGAATATTTCAAAAATGAAATAAAAACGGACGAATCACGAAGCTTATAACTATAAGGCAATGTAGGGGCTAATTATTATTGTATTTTTCAGAACCTTAATATATTTTGATGTTCCTCTGTTCTGTTGTGACAATAGAAACAAGTTTCTTTTTAAAATGCATTATCATATTATTTTAGTTAAAACTCATAAATAACTACAAATAACTAATGTTAGGGAAATCTGTCAATATTTTGTTGTGCGTTTCTGAAATAATAATAATAATAACAATAATAATAATAATAATAATAATAATATCGGCCGATATATCGGAATATCGGCAACAAATATTTGTATCGGTATCGGCCTTCAAAATCCTTTATCGGTCTGGCTCTAGTTGGGGGTAACGTATTACAAGTATACGTGAGTAACCGATTACTTTTTCCAAGTAACTAAAGTAACGCGCTACTTTTAAATTTGCAAGAAGTTATTTTTTTCAAATAAGTAATACAACTTACTTTGATTTCCCTTTTATTGACTGACAGCTCTCCTGTTCGAGAGAAATCGGGGGTGACATGCAGAGGTGTGTGTGTGTGTTATGTAAAACATGTACGTTTAGACTGAATGTAAGCATGCATTTACTCATCTCACTTGCACAAATGAATAAAACAGTGAAATGCAACCTCCGAATATCACCCAAACCAGCAATGATAAAATATGCTAAATAATATACGTTGTGTATTTAATCTCACTTTATCAACCAATGTCTTTGCTGCTGACCACTATGATCCAATTCAACCATAATAATAAGCAAAAATTATCACAATTGTGTTCCATTCTTTTGTAGTAGCCCAGCCCAGATGAGAAAAAACTA